AAGGGTTCCTCCTTGTTACATAATCCCATGATGAAAGGAAAAAGAGAGGGCAAAAAGGGAAGGAGAGAGAAAAAGAGAGAGAGGGGGGAAGAGGGAGAAGGAGTTGGTGGTGGCAAGAGGAAAGGAAGGGATGGGCAAAAAGGAGCCAACCTCATCCTTTTACAAGAAATCCACTCCTATGATAAAAAACCCACTTCTGTTATGACAGTATTAACTCGTTCATGAGGTTAGAGCCCTCATGGCCTAACCTCTTAAAAGTCCTGCCTCTTAATAGTGTTAAAATAATTAAATTCCAACATGAGTTTAAGAAGAAACAGATATTCAAACTACAGCATTAGTCATCATGGAAACTTAGTCAAAACAAAAATTTGATCCTACTTTGCCCACATTAGAATAGCTAGAATGAAAAAGAAAGAATACACATGTTGGCTAGGATGTGGAAAAATGAGAACATTCATATATTAGTGGTAGGGATGCAAAATGATGCAGCTGCATTGGAAAACAACCTGGCAGTTCCTCGTATATTAAGCATAGACCTACTATATGACCCAGCATTTCCACTGCTAGTTATACCTAAGAGAAAGGCAAACATATGTCTATAAAACCTGTACCTGAATGTTTAGAGTGGCATGAATTACAGTAGTAAAAATTGGAAACGACCCAAATATGCATCAACTGATTAATGGATATGCAAAATGTGGTGCATCCATACAGTGGAATATTATCTGTCCATAAAAAAAAATGGCAGTATATTTCTTCATGTTACAACATGGATGAACCTGGAAAACACGTTAAGTGAAAACAAAATCACAAGAGACCCCATTGTAATGATTTTATGTATATAAAATATCCGTAATAGACAAATCTATAGAGACAGAAAGTAGATTAGTGGTGCATAAAGCTGGTGGATTTGGCGGCGGGGGTGGGGAGGGGCCAAGGAAAGTGGCTGCTAATGATACAGGTTTTTTAGGGAGGTGATGAAAATGTTCTAAAATTGATTGTGGTGATAGTTGCACAACTGTGTGAATATAATATTAAGTTAGTGCAAACATAATTGCAATTTTTGCCTTTAAAAGTAAATGCAAAAAACGCAATTATGTTTGCACCAACCTAATAAATCCCATTGAATTATATACTTTAAATGAGTGGATGTATAGTATGTGAGTTATACCTCAATAGGGCTTGCATTATGTTTATACTGGACAAGATTGCTTTACCTTACTCTTTCATTTTTCTCTTCTAGGTCTATGATACAACTGGAATTGGTGTTTTGTGCAGGATATAAGTTAAGACTCAGATGAATTGTTTTCCATGTGGATATCTAATTGTCACAGAACCATTTATTGAACAGATAGTCATTTTCCCATCACATTACAATGGCACCTTTACTGTAAAATGACATTTTTTGTTGTTTTTGTGGGTATGTTCCAGAGTTTCCTAACAAAATATCTTCTTTTTAAAAGTTTTTCATTTTCCCCAATATATGGACTTCCTTCCTCTGCAATAACATTGTACATCCATTTTAAATGAAATTTTCATTATGTTGAGTCATCATTGAAATTGACTGCAAACACTGCTGGCCAAGTATAAATGGTATTTGTTTTCTTTAAAGTTTGGTTATATATATAAAAAGGCTTTAAAAACATAAGCACCCTTGGGTCTAGTAATTTTTCTTCCAATGTCTATACTAAGGAATTTGGAGATACATTTTAGTACAAAGATGTTTATTACAGTGTTACTTGTTTTTATAAAGGTGTTCTAAAACTCTAGGTTTGCAGAGTAGGAAATAACAGAACAGATTATAATGTATTCCATAAAAACAGTTTTCAAATAATATTTAATAATTTGAAATATTTGAAATATGAAAGTAAATGGATAGACAATATAAAATATTTATATATTAGATCCCAGTTTTATCCATCTGTCTATATGAGAGAGAAGTATTACATTTGAATGAAGACAGAAATGAATTAAATGCCCTAACATTGGATATCTCTGAGTGGGTTTGTGAGTAATATTTACTTTCTTCCTTGTATCTCTCTTCTTAAAATTCTATAATATATTTCATCTAAAATGGGTGCACAATATCACTATGGAGGAAGGAAGTACATAATATTGATGAATGTTCATTTTTTAACCACATTGAATCCAGCCTTACCACCAATGAGTTCGGTAATCTCAACTATATTTCCTATTGTCTCTAATGGTCAAACTCTCAAGTATAAAATGTGAATGGTCACTGCTCTTCTGTGTCATTATAAGGATAAAATGAGATTGTATAAGCAAATCTTTTAACAAAATTGAACATGTTATAAGAACTCAGTAAATAATTGTTATGTATTATAAATTTTAATCTTTTTCCTATAGTTGAACATTTAATTATTTCCTCTTTTTTACTTCTAGAAAGAATGGTGTAATACATATTCATTCCCAAAAATCTTTGGTTAGAGTATTTTTACGGGCTCAAGTTCCCAAAGTTGCACAAAATTATGTGCATTGACATATGTTTTTAAATTGGATTTCAGAAAAATTGTATCAATTTATATACTTCTGTCATTATGATGTAAGAAGGCCTATCCCAATAAATCTTTATTAGCAGGTTAGGAAAAAACCACATGTCAGCTTGAATTTCTTTGATTACTGGAGAATTTGCACTATTTACTTAAAATGTATTAGCCAGTAATATTTCATTTTTTTGTGAATTGTTTGTTTTTGTCCTTTGCCTTTAAAACAATGTATTTCTGTAAATACACATTTTTAAATATCTTTGGCTAGTTTGTATAATTTATATGATTTTCAATCTTAACTTATGAAATCAAATATCATTTACATTAATTTCTGTAATTAATTTTTCAAAAGATGATTTCATGTATAAAGAGTTACACAAATAATATATAGCCATTATATTAAAAATCAGATAATTCAAAAAATATAAAATATTTTCAAAATCACTCCATATTTATTACTCAAAAGTAATCATTGTCAATATTTAAGCATATTATTTCAGGTATATATGTAGCTATGCATGTATATTATTTCAGATATATATATGTATATAGGCATGTATATAATGATGAATAATAAAAAAATACAAATACTTTTTACAAAGATGGTATCTCACAGTAATGCTACACTTATTTAGACATAGTTAGAATTTACATCTAATGGGGGGGAAATTGCATTGAAATTAGAAGTATTGAACCTCAGATAAATGTTTCTTCACCACCTGACATTAATTACCAAAAAAAAATATGAAATTAACAAATTAAATTAGAGGCACTTTAAGACATTAGAGTAATTTTTTTTTAACTTTGTGTTTCAAATTTAGATAGGCTCTATTGATTCCCTTCTCTGAATGATAAGGGAACTAGAATATTCTCTCCAAACTCCCCTATGACATCTGGTGTTTATGTATTATAAACACATATTTGATGTTTATTTATGTTTACATTGACAAAAATGTTATAATCAATATACTGGTTATTGTTTGATCTTGATTTTAAAGTTTAGAGGATTCAATGATCATTACCTTTACTTTTATGTTGAATTTTTCCTCCATTCTTGAATTTTAAACTTGGATTTATTTCTAGATTGGTTTGATTTTTTATATATATGTATATATATAAGCAGGGTTTATGACTGCTGTGATCTCCAATCTTGCATGTTTGAACATGTAGCTATTATATGTGAATAAATATATAACGGGGAACAAATATTTCAAGCTGTATCTTCTATCCCTTAGAATTTTGTCCCATTGTATCCAATATCGAATACTGCCATCGGACTAGTCTGCAATATCCTTTTGATGAGCATTTTGGTTTGTGTTGTGGTTTCTAATGTTGTGAATACTCTTATGTTTTGTTTTGTTTTGTTTTGTTTTGTTTTTGCCTGGTTTCTTAACCTATCCTTGAAATCTATGGTTGAATTTGAACTCCAAAGAAAATTTGTTGTCACCTGTGGTCTGGAATCACATCACCATAACTCATGGACACTTGGACGAGCCTTTCAGAAAAACAGTATTTAGGCCGGGCGCGGTGGCTCACGCCTGTAATCCCAGCACTTTGGGAGGCCGAGGCGGGCGGATCACAAGGTCAGGAGATCGAGACCACGGTGAAACCCCGTCTCTACTAAAAATACAAAAAAATTAGCCGGGCGTGGTGGGGGGCGCCTGTAGTCCCAGCTACTCAGGAGGCTGAGGCAGGAGAATGGCGTGAACCCGGGAGGCGGAGCTTGCAGGGAGCCGAGATCGCGCCACTGCACTCCAGCCTGGGCGACAGAGCGAGACTCTGTCTCAAAAAAAAAAAAAAAAAAAAAAAAAGAAAAGAAAAACAGTATTTAGAATACAGAATATTGGCTGGGCAGGGTAGCTTGTACCTATAGTCCCAGAACTTCAGGAACCCCAGACAAGAGGATCGTTTGAGCCCAGAAGCTGAAGACCAACTTGGGCAAAATGATGAGATCCTGTCACTACAAAAAATTTAACAATTAGCTAGGTGTGGTGCAAAGTGGGACCCAATATCTAAAAACAAAAACAAAAAATACATAATATCTATATTTGACTCCAGACAGCACTATAGTGGCAAGTGTCAGGCAGTATTTTTATTGCTTCCCATCTTGTTCAAGATTTTGCAGTCTTAAAAAAGGTGGCTTTATAATATTATTCATGGTTTCTTTGAAGAAACAGTTTTCTCTATTTTTCCGTGATATTTTTTCTTTTTCTAATTGGGGTAAAGGAACAAAAGTTAGGGAATAGGCATTAGTTTATAAAAATTTTAAGAGGTAAGAATAAAAGTTTGTTCTACCATGTCTAATTTATATTTGTCTTGTGTGAGAAGTCAAAATTCAAAAATTAAATACTTTATGATATAAAACTTTATGTTTTACACATCAACATATGATGTCTTTAAATAGAAACATGAAAAATTAGTAGATAAAGGCTGGCTAAGTAGTTAAACATAAAGTGTTCAAATTAATCATAAATATTTTATATAGTAACTTACAAGATTGGATATTTTTTTCTCCAGTTTGGCTTCTCAAGATTCATACACATAACTGTTGTAGTTATATGAAACCAGCAAAACCCTGATATCAAAGCATGAGAAAAAAATTAAATTAAATACTAATATACTTCATTAACCAGACATAAATATTCTTTAGAAAGATTTAGCAAATTGAATTCAGCAATATGTAAACCATAACCAAGTCAGAATTATCCAAGGAGTGTGAAGTTGATTTGGCATTTGAAAAGCAATTAATATAATGTGCTAAATTAATATAATAAAGGAAAAGTATGATCAGCTCAATAGATATTGAAAATCATTTCATGAAATTTTACACTAATGCTTAATAAGTGAATCCCTTAGCAAGTTAGGAATAGAATTTCTTCAACTTATAATTTAAAACAATGGCATTTTCATAATTTCAAAAATTAAATTCTAGAAATCTAATTAATGAATTACATGTAATATCTCCATGCTGAAAACGGTTAAAACATTGCTGTGAAAAATTAAAGAAGTCCTAAGTAAAATGAGAAATATACTAAGTTAGTGGACTGAATGACTCAAAATTTGTAGATATCAAATCTTCCTATATTAACTTATAGGTTCAACACAATCCCAACTAAAACTTCAGGAATCTTCCTTATGGAAACGATAAGCTGATTTTAAATAAATATGGAAATGTAAAAGATCTAGAATACTGAAATAATTGTGAAGAATAAAATCAAGAATTAGACTACACGATTTTAAGACTTCCTAAAGATTGACAGTAATTTATACAGTGTGATTGTGGTGTAAAGATAGACAAGTATAAAGTGGAATAAAATAGAAAGCTCAGAGATGGAACTCAGATATCTAGCAGCATAGTGGGAAAAAATATAATGTTGGAACATCATCTATTCTATACATATTCACATGCATAGAATATTCTATGCATATTCACATAGAAAAAAACTTGACCATTATCATACACAAATATTAATTTGAAATAGCTCATAGACAAAAGTAAGCAAAGATTTACTATAAAGTTATTAAAAAAAGCACTAACCTAAAAAAAAGCAAATTCACAAATAAGATTTTATCAAAATTAAAATCACATGCTAATCAAAAACAACACCACTATAAAAATGGAAAGGCAAATCATAGACTTTGGCAATATGTGCAATATATATGTAACAAAAAAACTCATATCCTGAACGAAGAATTTCTACAAATCAATACTAACATAAAGTGAACCCAACTAAAAGAGGTGAAACATTTGGACAGATACTACACAATAGATGGATAAAAGGCCACCAATCACATGAGAAAATGATCAATATCATTAATTATCAAAGAAATGCAAAATAATATCACAGGAGATATACTATACACACATGTCAAAATAACATAAAGACTGACATTCATCAGTGTTGACATGTAGAGAACCTGGAAATATGCATACATTGCTAGTGAAAGTATAAAGTGGTATAATCACTTTGAGAATTAGTTTGACAATCCAAATAAAATTAAAAATATATCTACTCCATGTCTTAGTTATTCCACTTTTAGGTAGATATTCAGGAGAAATAAATGTATGCATAGGAATATTCATAGCAACTTAATTCATAATACTACAAAATACAGAATGTTTCATATGTCCATCAACAGGTGAACAGGCAAACTGTAGAAAGAGAGTATACTAAAACAACTTCAAAACAAGAAGCAACAAGCTACTGATGAAAGAAATGCTATAGTTGAAAATGTTACATATATGTTAGAAGCCACATGCGAAAGAGTATACATACTTAGATGTCAGAATAGTGGCTGCTTCTGTAGAAGTGTAAGTGATTGACTAGAAAAGACAGGAGGAAATTTCTGGACTACTAGAAATATTCTAGACAACTTAATGGGAAAAAACTCTTTTAAACTGATGATGTTGGAACAATTGTATATTTGTATAGAAAAAATACTTGACTATCATCATACACAAATATTAACTTGAAGTGGATTGTAGACAAAAAATAAGCCAAGAATATCTTTATTTGGGTTATGATTACATTGCTGCACATATTTGCCAAAATCGTTTGAACTTTGTACTTTAGATGAGTTCATTTTCCTGTGTGAGTATTGTATCTCTCAATAAAGTAGATGAAAAAACAGAAGCAATATTTGCCATACACAAAATACTTAATTTTCTTTATTATGTAAAACATTTATATAATGTTTTCCTTGCAATATCAATAACACGATATTAAGATAAGTGAAAAATATAAACAGGCATTTAACAAAATTAAATTTAAATAGTCTATAAATTTATGGAATTGCATAAAACCTCATTTATTTTAAAAACATGCAAATTAAATAACCATGTAACCATACTCACCTCTCAAAATGGCAAGAGTTGAACAGTGATAAAATGTAAATATTTGCCAATATGTACTATATGAGCATGTGGAGAAATCCTACTGTCATGCATTGTTTACAGGAATCTAAAATTGGTAGGCTTGGCACACCCTCATTGCAGTTCATTTAGCAGTATCTTTCAGATTTTTTAAAAGTCATGTTTAAAACATAAATTCCACTTCTAGAGTTCTCCTAGATTTTCTCCCATAAAGAATCCAATGAAATATGAATAAAAATTTATTCCCCATCACTGGCTGTAGAAACAAAAATTTGGGAGCAATAAAAATAATCATCTACAAAGAAGTAAGTAAATTATGGTATATTTCTAGACTTTGGAGGGACCACTATATGGTTTCTTAAAATGAAGTAAAACTGTTTTTGCTGATATGAAAATCTCTCCAAGACAGAGTGCTAAGTGAGAAAGAGGACAGTGTAACAATATGCTCCCGTCCAGGGAGATCACGTTAGGAAATACATGCAGATGACTCTTGTGGTTGGTCACTCTGGAGAGTAAAACTGGGTACTAGATTGGGCGGGTGGGAGCTCCAACATTTTATTCTATTTTAACTTTGTTTAAAATAGAGATATACAAATAGGGCTCGAGGACTGCTAATGAGATATTTTTACAATATTTTCAGAGGCAAAAAAGATAAAAAACATCAAGAGGCAAAAAAGATAAAAAGCATCAAGAGGCAAGCTTGTTGTTTCAGAAGGCACTCTGATTTTTTTAACCAATTAACAGTAGTAATTTGGTTTCTAAGTTTTCCAACCTAATATTATCCACATTTTACATGTAAAAGAAAGCACTAAATATGAAGGAAGGGTTTATATGGCATTTTTATATATAACTAACAGATGCAGAAAGATTCTGTGGTAAAAGCCAAAAATGGTTACGAATTATTCCCCTCCCTGTTTCCTTGTCTTTTTGCAATATGATTCAGTAACTTCTCCCACCAAAATATGAAGTCTATTTCATTCTTTGAATCTGAAGTTGTCATGTGACTGATTTGGGCCAGTTGAATGAAACAAAAGTGATGGTATGATACTTATTGTAGGCTTCAAGCCCTCTTGCATGCTTGAATTCTCCTTATTGGAATCTTGCCGTGATACTAGGTGGACAAGCCCAAGATAACTGGTCAGATAATCATAGTCACATGGCCCACTTGCTCCCATTACTCCAGCTTTTAGACAACTAATCAAAGAGGTAGAGCCGCCTAGAAAGAACTGGCAGCTGACCGTGAAATGCAGGCCTGAGCCCGTAAAGAACAAGAGAACTACCCAGATGTTTCTAGCCCAAATTGCTAATCCACAGAACTGAAAGTTAGTTAATATTTGTTGTTTTAAGTTACTAAGTTTTAAGACTCTTTAATGTGCAACAAAAGCTAACCTATACAAGATCTTTGGGGTCCATATTTTATCCAAGATTGTTTCTTTGTCCATTTGTTTCATTTGGTTTCATTTAGGCAACATAAAATGGGCACCTACAATGTGTCAAACATTGAGTGAGGGTATATGATGCCATGCCTACTCTCAGAATGGCAGTCATTCGGTTGATACCTCATAGCTAAGAATAAAGAATCTGGAGCCAGACTGCCCCATCTCATGTCTACCTCTGCTGTGTAATTATGCAACTATCCAAGGTTTTTAGTGCTTCTAGTTTTTTATCAGTAAAATGAAAACAACAATAGCACATACATTCCTGGGCTGTCATGGGGATTAAATGAGTTAATAGTTATACTGAACTTGAAGCAGTGAAGGGTAATGAAATTTTAAAAAAATTAATATCTAAAATTGGAAAAGTTTCCTTTTTTGCCTAAAATAACTAAACAATTGCTGGTAAGTATTGTCAAGATACACTTCATCTGAGGAGTCCCGTCCCCTGTTGCTGTGAGTATTGTTTGCTTCCAGATAACTGCTTTCCTCCTTCTACTGCGACCTTGGTCTAGAGGAGTTGTCTCACCGAGAAATATATGGGAGGTATGGGGTTACACTAAATTTCTGGGGATAATCTGTAGCTGATTGGTAAGAGGGTTCAAAGGACCAGCCTCTTTGCCTCAGGGTACGACTTGGTCTCTGGTGCCCTTCATTCTCTATAGCTTCCTGTAGGATCCGACCGAGATGAAACCTCAGCTGAACCACATCTTTGCTGAGTTTCTTCTCCTGTCCTATCCTACTTTCCGCCCTTCTCCTAAGAGCACTCTTCCAACAAATCACATGCATTTAAATCCCCATCTCAGACCCTGCTTCTAGGGAAGCTGGCCTAAAATAAGTATGAAATGTTATTTTCTGACCTTGCACCAGCAGCCTGCCAGGGAAGTTCAGAATGATTTAGCAAATCAAATTTGAACAGTGACAAGATAATAGGATACTAATTATAGCAGCTACCAGGAGAGGAGAGGCTCTTTGCAAGACCACCAGAAAGAAGAATGAAGTACAATGCACATGCGGCTGCTTTGTCTCCCTTCTATCCCTCTGAACATTAAGTTCTGCTACACACAGTGCCTGTCTTCTCAGATCACCACAGTGGGAAGGCTGAGCCTGTGGTGATTCTCAGTGGACACTTGTTTGGCTTAAATTGGCAACACACTTCTTGATAGAGCACCATGATCTTCAGAGTGATGCTATTGCCCCTGCAGAGTCTTCTGGGTAGGTCTTTTGTATGTCAAAGATTGAATGACAGCCAGCAGGATACCTAGTCTT